CTCCACTGCTCATCCCTGAACCACTGAACCCCACAAACGACCATCTCCACACTCACCATAACACCCTCATCTATGTGGAAACCATACCACACTCCATTCAACCCATCTCAAGCACACCCGAGTCTAATGATAAAGACTCACTTATCAAGAACCTGGCAGAGGAACTCAAGAAACTGACTAGCCAAATTCAGGGCGTCGAAGAAAGCAAGGGGATTGAAGGGTTGAACTACGAAGACCTCTGCATACAACCAGATGTCGAACTGCCTGAGGGGTACAAACCTCCTAAGTTCGAGATGTTTGATGGCACATGGGATCCCAGAGTTCATTTGAGAACATACTGCGACAAGTTGGTCTGAGTAGGGAAGGACGAAAGGATTCGCATGAAACTTTTCATGAGGAATCTGAAGGGAGATGCTCTGTCTTGGTACATTAACCAAGATCCGAAGAATTGTCGAACTGGGTAAGCATGACGTCGGATTTCATGGACAGGTTCAGGTTCAACACAGAAAATGCGCCAGATGTGTTCTACATCCAGAACCTAAAGAAGAAACCCGCGAAGACATTCCGCGAGTATGCTACTCGCTGGAGATCAGAAGCTGCTAAGGTCAGACCGGCTTTAGAAGAGGAACAAATGAACAGGTTTTTCATCCGAGCTCAAGACTCGCAGTACTATGAAAGGTTGATGCTGATTGAAAGCCAGAAATTTTCCGACACCATCAAGCTAGGTGAGAGGATCGAGGAAGGCATCAAAAGTGGTATGGTCACAAACTTTGAGGCTTTGCAGGCTACCAACAAAGCTCTATAGTCTGGTGACACGACCAAGAAAAGGGACGTGAGCGCCGTGATGGATGCACAGAGAACCAAGTCCCCTATCAAATATCAAACCTACCTGATGCCTCCACTCACATATCAACCTACCCCAAATTACCAAGCACTCTCACCCTCTTACCAAGCTCCACCTCCTACTAACCCATCACCTCCTCCGCCCACATATCAGCCTACTTTACCCAGATATTCCCAACCTGCACATGTCTACCAAGCCTACAATACTCAACCCTCCCACTATCAATCACCTCCCACTCGCCAAAACTTTCCTAGACCCCGACCAAATTTCAACCGCAGACCTCCCAAACAATATACCGACATTGTCGGACCAATTGACCAGCTGTATGAAAGGCTCAAAGTTGCTGGTTATGTCACCCCCATCCCCGCTATAACTCCTGAAAACCCTTCCCAATAGGTCAATCCTAATAAATCTTGTGCATACCATTCCGGCATGAAAAGGCATACCATTGATGAATGTCGTTCTCTGAAAGATAAGATCCAGGCACTGATCGATAACAAGATTATTGTGGCAAAGGAGCCTGCTCCGAATGTCCGCAACAACCCTCTGCCCGACCACAAGGGTGGAGGCGTTCACATGACTGAGATAGAGGATGATTGGGACCCCAAGAGACCGGCCCGTTTGGCACGCGATCCCGGGCTGGGCCCGGCCCACAATACACCCTTAATTAGGAGGAAGCAGATTGAAAGAAACTAGAACAGGCAAATGATGGCAAACCTTCTATCCAAGATCAACAGCAAGATGAAAATGGCACTGTTGAATGCAAGGTTTGCTTAGAGATTACAGCTAATCCACTGTAACAGCACAAGATTCTACCTCATAACCGCAGTAGAAGGAATTCAAAGCTCAGAATATCAAATACCAATAACCATGGACATCAATATAAATTTGACAATTTTCCTAATCAGATACTGGTGTTTAAACAAAATTTACACAAAACATTGCTGCTGGGCAGACTTAAGACACCCAAGAACTTGATTCATAAGCCATCTGAAAAACTCATAAACCTGATATATAAAAAGAAATATGACATGCCATGGTGAATAAATATCTCCACCATGCAACTGCTTTTTAAACGCAGCCAAATCCAAAAGAATTCGAAAAGTTTCACTCAAAACTTTGCAGTTCAGAAGAAAATTTATTAGTGAGCAAATATGGCCTGGCTCCTTACAAGCCACGCGTAAGCAATATGTTCCTCCACGCAATACAACAAAATAACATCCATATGACCTTTTCTCCAAAGAAGGCTCCAATTATTACCAGCATAAATCAAATGGCAAGCACAGGGATGGTGGCAGATCAGGGAATAGTGCGTTGATAAAGAGGCATCGCTCCCAAAGCTTCACGTTCTGCCTTCTCCTTCTTTATCTTCAGAAAGGCAAATTTCAGAGAAGTCGTTAGCAGAGAAGGAAATTTAAGGTAGTTTCCTTGATATTAACTAAATTCTCAAATAACTATTACAATGGCAAGTTTTAAACATATTCAGGGGCAGAAGATTTTCTGACTTTATCAGTAATAAAATTAAAGGAGTATCTGTTTTCATCTTGGGTTGGTTTGTGGTGGCTTTTTTTTTTTTTTTTTTTTTTTTTTTTTTTTTTTTTTGTTGGGGGTGGGGGGTTGTTGGTATTTCTCAAAATTAAACTAAACATTCTTCTTGGAAGTAGCTAAAAATGGTCAAGTATCTGCAAAGCTTGAACAAACAAAAATTACTGTCCTATTGCATTTCAAAAGTCCGGTTTCACCTTACATCCAAAGTATACAAGACTTGATATTTGAACAGGATACAGTTTGATGTTTACGGTTTATAGTTTAACTAGTATCTTTAAACTCCCACATTGGAAACTTTCATCTACATCTTGAATACGGAAATCCACAAAGCACAGTACATAGAAAGCAATAGCCTTATCAGAACTTAATTACCAACACCATGTCCGGTGGACGGAGAGGAACAAAGGAGCTTACAGGCCAATGTCGAGTACATGCGTATCAATTAGATGTAGGATTCTTTTTCTAGTATGCAGAGCAGGTGGCAATATCAGGCGTTATCAAATTGCCTTGAGGCAGTTACTTGTATAAGGTGGTGGAAGTGAATTGGAAAGAACAACTCTCAGTGTGCTCCTTGATTATTTGATTTCTTGTTTTCTTTCTCAAGTAGCTCCTTGCTACAAAAATTGGACATAGTATATGTGCTTTGAAAGAACTAATAGTTATGGATTTTGATTCACCTGTTATTAAATTGTTAAGCAAGAAGCGTCTTATTATCCACATAGATAATGTCAAGCACAAAAAATGATATTGGAACTGTGGACTTCAGAAAACAGACCCCCATCCCCAAAAAAGAGAAAAATGAAGTTCAAAATTGCCAAATGCTTCTCTAATCAACTCTACATTTGTGAAGGAAATCAAAGAGTATCAAATAACTCTAGCTACACCCAGTTAGAAACATGAACTCACCAGAGATATCATGTCATGTAAATAACTCCTAAATGGGGTCTGCTTTGCCTGTACATATAAAATACCCAGGAATCATAAACTATATCAGAACATATACAAAGACAATAGCCACATGCATGATATTAAGACATCTAGTATTTTGGAAATGAAAAAGACAAATGGAAGATACATTACAAACTAAACAAAAAGAACATTGAAGCTGCAAGTATAGGAGGTCCTACTATCAAGTAAAAAAAAAGGCCTTATTTTATTCATTCCTTTTCTCTTTTCTCTTTTCTCTAATCTTTTCGACTCAGATTCAAAGAAGTTAACGACTTCTCACTAGGATCACCTAGAGCCCTTTTGGTGATGAACACTATTTCAGTATTCTAGTTTAGCCATGAACACTGGGTTTCAAGTAAAACATTATTTGAACCTTAAGCAAAATATGAAATATAAAGATGTATTTCAAGTGAAATACTTGTTTCCACTCATAAATCTTCAACTTTCACGAACTTTTTTTGTTCAAGTGAAGTTCATGCCACCATACAAGTTCTGAAGGAAATAAATCCAGGTCACCCATGTGGGTGAACTCGAAAAGTAAAATTAAATTAAAATGAAAGAAAAGGAGAAGAGACACAATTGGTTGCCAATTAGTGACAGTTCAAGTAGACAACAAGTTATCTTGTTTATAAAGGATATTGCTTTTTTCCTTTCGTTTTAGCGATATTTTTAACGATGGTGTCCCAACTAACTTCTGTGCGCCTCTATTATTTCACCGGGTATTTATTATTAGCTATTTTTGCTTCTCTTTCTTCCAGCAAAAGAAATTGAAAATTTTCCGGTCTTTGTTCTTTGTAAGCAGATTTCAAATATTTTTATCTATCTGTAACGCATGTGTGACAGATTATGAACCTTTTCTATACAGTTCATATTCAAATACATGTGATTGTAACATTGGCTAGTGAAAGAAGTACGAATACACCCACTCAAAAGAACCAAGAACGAATGCAGATTAGAATCCATATATTGTGTGTTCCTGTTTTCTCCTTCATTGGCATCAGAACATAGGGTTTATTTCTATCTAATCCCTAAAGATAAAGGAGAAAAACGTTCCCCCTCGGTATGCGATTTCATTCTTCAAAAGCCATGCTTCAGAATCTGTCTTCTTTGAATGAAGTTAGAAATAGACAGAAATGACAAGAATTTTGCATGATTCATGAATCTCGTACATATGGTGGTTTTGCCGATAACCTTGACGCATAATTAAGAAGATTATTGAATGATTTTATATGGTGATTCGCAAGATTGCAAACTCATAAACGCTTCTATTTCTAGAGCCAAAGCTTCAGCCCATAGGATATGTCCACATACTTCACAATAGGAGGACCAAATAAAAAGGAGTTCTTTAGACTAGTGCAACCGATAATCTAATGCATATCATGCTGTGTGCTATTCCGAATATATGTTATGTTATTAGGCTAGCAGATATCAATATGACTCAGGAAAACAATACTAGAAAGAAGCTAAAAGGATACCGAGGTATCCAAAGGCACACCGACTATTCCTTGTGTTACCAAGAAAAAGATCTACAACTCAAAGGTTACACCTTTACTGATTGGACAGGAGATTTAGATGAAAGAAAATCAATCTCTAGATATGTATTCTTGATAAAAAATGGTGCCACATCGTGGAGTAGCAAGAAGCAATCATGCATAGCCTAATCCACAATGGAAGCTGAATTTGTACCACTTTTAGCAACTATACAAGTAGCTGTTTGGCTTAAACTTTTATCTGGTATATTTAGATGAGTTTGATAGTACTATTGAATCAGTAACCATCAAATGTTAAAAAACCACAAACGTTATAGCCAAGCTGCAATAGCCTACACAATGGATCCCAAGTACCATGAGAAGATGAAACATACTAACACTAAGTACAATTTTGTTAAAGAAATATTGTACATATACAAGTGAACATGAAATACATCTCTGTGCATCATATGGTAGAGAACTGCAATGAGAACTGAAACCCATAGCATGTGATGCTTATAAAGACATGGCAAGTCGTTGGGTTCGAGAAGATACTAATCCTTTCATATTTTAACTTTTTCCAATCATGTTCATGTAAACCTACATTATTGAAGTTAATGTAAGTTGACGCTTAATTCTCCATTCTTGCATATTCATGTAAAAATTATCATTTTTATGTCTAAAACATAAATTCGAAGTGTAAAAGGTATGTCGAACACACATGACATAGGCAATCGCCTCTATAGTCTAAGTGACTAATAGAGGTGAGATAAACTTATCATTGCTAGATTGATAATAGTGTAACAATCAAACCGGCTGGTTTGAGTTCTAGCACCTCGCTCCTTGATTTGAGAGTTCCTATAGGTTCATTTGGTGTTTTATGACTTGCGGATATTGGTGGTTTGGGTCCTGAAGGGCTCGGGAGTGGTTTGGTACACTTGCATGCTAACTTGAGACTTAGAAGTCCATTAAGTTCATTTTGGTCCTCGATTTGAGTTAATGCGCTTCGTTTCGTGTTTCGAGACCATGGATAGGTCTGTATAGTGTCAATGGACTTGTTGAAATGATTGGATTAGGACCCGAGGGGCTCGGAGGTGTTTGGCGCATTTGGAACATATTTTTGTAGCTATTGCAGGTCCTAGTGTGGACCATAGTGCGGCCAGCACTGGGGAAGTGCAGACCGCACAGTAATCCGCAACACAGGAGGGCCGCAAGTTTTTGGTCTAACTTCGGGAACGTATATATCCTAATCTATAATGAATTTGGGGATAATCCAAAAATGAAAGTTGTAACCCTTTAAGTCTAGTTCTCAGTGGTTCAAACTGTTCGACATTTTGACATTTGCATAACCCCCTCATTTAACTGAAGTGTAGTCTAAAGCACAACCTTCTACAGACTAGAGTGCGGCCAGCACTGCAAAAGTTTCAGATTGTACAAATACGGAGTTTTGGTGATTTTTTATGTTATTTTTCACCATTTTGGAGCTTGGGGTAACTGATTCTAACTTATTTGAATTTATTTTATGAATTTAACCTAAGATCTGTCATTTAAATATGGATTCAAGCAGGAAATGAGGATTTCTTACTTGAATGTTAAGAAAGTACTTTTGAGGATTTATACTTCATCAAAAAGTACTTTTGAGGATTTGATATGATTTGGACTAGGATTGAGAATCTAATAACATATATGGACTCACGAGGTTATGGGTAAACAGAATTTGACTCTAGTTCCTTACTCTGGTTTCGGGATCTGATCATGTGGCCTGGGTTTGACTTTTGTTGACTTTGACCTAAGCCTATCTTTTGCTTATGGAATTGAGTCCAACGACATTGTGGAGCATTCTTTGGGTTAGATCGGGCTCGTTTGATGGAGTTGGAGAAGGAAAAACGGATTTTGAGGAATAGAGCTAGTCTGGGATAGAGGTAAGTACCTTGGTTGACTTCGATATAGAGAATTTTTCCTAAAAATGATATTATTGCTATGTGCTATTTGTTTGGGGTAACGTATATGCGAGGTGACGAGCGTATATACGGATGCCAAGATTTATCCATGCTTGGGGTAGTTTGTTTAGCCTTTTTATGCCTTGTTTGTTACATGCCTTGTTGCATGTTTTATTTGTTCTATGACTATTTGAGCATCTTATTTATGTTGTATAATGTTATAGGCATCATTCACATGCTAGTTTCAAAACCAACAACAACAACAACAAAAAACCTTGTGTATTCCTACAAGTGCGGCCTGAGGAGGTAGTGTGTACGCAGAGCTTACCCCTACCTTTAAAAAGGCAGAAAGATTGTTTTCATTGGACCCATGGTGAGAGAGAAAACTATGTATTCTCCATTTATATTATTAATCATGTGTCATAAGTTATTAAATGTAATAGTTTGCCTTAATTCCAGATGTCAATTCTAATAGATAAAATCAATGAGTAGATATGTGAACTCAGAATTACGAAGAAAAAAAAAGATATGTGAAACATAAGAGTTAATATATGGTTGTATGAACATTATCATCAGCATAATTTATATTTGAAACGACATATACTTTATCAGAAAAGAGTAAATAGTGTGATATGTTCATACCATGTAATTGTCGTGGTTTTTTAAAACGAAAAGCGCAAAAACAACCAAATTCGTGAAATTGAAACGAAAAGCTAGAAGGGCACACTTCTTTGAATTGAGGCGCACAATTGACGTGACATTCAAAATTATCAAATATCTATGAATTTAGTAAAATAATACATTGCAATTAAAATAACTAGTTTCAGCATTATATATACAATAATGTCAATATTAAACTCCTCAAAGTTGAAACTAAAAGAATTGAATAATTCTCAACGGAATCACTTCGTGCACCATTATTTGAAGCGCAAACTTCTCTAAAACGCATGGCTTCACTCGTGAAGAGATAACCCCCTATAAGAGTGGTACATATATTAATCTCTGCTAGTTATTTTGTGAAACCGTAAAAATTATATTCCCTCTATCCCAATTTAGGTGAAACTCTTTCCTTTTTAGTTTGTCCCAAAAAAAAAAGTCATCTTTCTACAAATAGAAACAATTTAACTTCGAAAATTTCATTTTACTCTTAATGAGTGATTTACGACCACACAAATGTCTAAGGCTTATTTTAGACATTTCTTTTTAGTTTAACAATTTAACAATCTAAGGCTTATTTTTAGTTTGTCCGAAAATTTCATTTCTTTCTTAAATAACATGCCAAGTCAAATGGTGCCAGATAAATTGGGACGGAGGGAGTAAGTAATTTTAACACCGTGCCCTCATGACCCAGACCGATATCTTGAGATCGAATTTGGTAGTTCCTATTCTAAGTTATTGTCAAATGGTCATCTTTGATTCGATTTGGCGGGGACATTCCAAGAAAATTAAGTCAAATTGAGATTACGAGAAAGCCATAGATACACGAGATTGGCACATGATCTTCATGCTCTAAACTAATCTTCGAAATTTTTCTTTGGAAAATTACAAGATGCCAATTGTATTCCCCAAATGTGTCGTTTCTTGACATTTTGCGACACTCCATATGGTTAGTGTTGAACTTCCATCGACTATGGAGGTTCAAAAAAGAAGATGGATAGGGGGAGGGGGTAACGGAGACACTACATGAAGTAGTGTTTGGGGGTGGGGGAGTTCTTCCAAAAGAAAGGAGGAGATCCTAATTCCTAAGGAAGAAGATGAAGGGTGGGGGTGGGAGCTGCCGGCGGCGGGAGTTTTGACAATCATTTTATCTTTTCTTTTTTCCTTAAAAGTTTTTATTAATTAGCTAGACTCCAAAGCCACATGGCTATTTTACATTCGTTATTTCTGCCATGTTAGGCGAGTGAAGTGCATGTGTTATTTTTTTACTGGTTACTGATGAGAGGTTTTATAGGCACACATCATCTGAAATTGAAGTGTCTAATAGGTAAAGACCTTTGTTATGTATGTTCTGGTTACACGATCTAGTTGACATGTATGAAAGTTAAAAGATAGGAATAAGAGTTGATCCACGATGTGCAAGCGGTGAGATGAAGGAGTTAAATCCGAATAACCCATATGGGTACACCTGACAAATAAATAAAGAAAAGGAGAAGAGACACAACCGATTGCCAACGGTCGTGTCATTTCAAAATAAACAGGAAGTTGTCATGTTTAGAAAGGGTACTGCTTACTTTTGCTTCTCCCTTTCTAACACAAGACACTGAATTTGAGAAAAGTTTGAACTATTTGTAACTCAGACACGACAAAAACTGTGAGCTTTTTCTATACAGTTCATGTAACAAAAAGGAATATGGCTTAGAATCCATATTTTCTTAGTTAATTTTTGCTTGAAACAACAAATTCACACTTCTTTGTAAGATCAACTTCAAAACACTTTTTTCAAGTCAACTTCAACTCAAAGGCCTGCCTGGTATATAAAGTGTACATTTTTCCAGAAAATGCCCCTCCATCAGAAGCACGATTTTTAATAACACTGAAGATATATTTCTTTCGTCAACTCGAATCAAATTGTTGCGTAAGTTAAATGTATATAGTGTGAATAAGTCACAACTACTATACCAAAAATTATGACAACCACCAAATAATAAATAAGACAATAAAGCAACAATAAAGGGAACACCAGAATTTACGAGGTTCGGCTAATTTTGCCTACTCCTCGGACACAACCAATATTTTATTCCACTCCAAAAATACAAGTGAAATAATACTAAAGAGAGAAGATACAAATGCCTTAAACAGATGAGAAGGCAAATGAGAGGTGTGTTT